CCCCTCATCATTCCCCTCTTCAGTCTTCTTCCATCCTCCTCCTCCTGCCCTTCTCCTCCGCCTCTCAAGCTTCCATCCTGAACTCACCGGAGGTCCGTGATTCCCGACACTGGCCGGGACGCCCATGATGCCGTGCGGGCCCCGGGCCTTGAGGTCGTTGTAGTTGGAGAACCCTTCAATGCCTTCGGTCTCAGTGTGGAAGCGACCGTAGGACATTAGGATCTCGTCCGTCATGATCAGGATCTTGTACTTGTGGTCCTCCCGGTCCCTGGCCTGCTCGGCAGGAGGGTCAGAGTCTGAGGGGGAGGGGGGGGGGGAGGAACAGGAGGAGGGGGAGAATGAGACCGAGGTCGAGGACGAGGACGAGGAGGATGAAAGGGAGGAAGGAAGGATTGACAGAAGTTTGCAAGGAACCTGGCCGGGGAGGCTGAGTTTGGTGTCACTGTCAAAAGTCCACCCGAGCTCGTTGCGATGCCTTTTGACGGCAACTGGCGGATCATCTTGAAAGCTAGCGGGTTTGCGAACAAGCCGATGAGCTATCGGTGCGAGGAAGATTGTGAATGGAGGGGGCGGGGGGGGGAAGAGTGAGAGAGAGAGAGAGAGGGAGAGAGGAGGGATGGAAGGAGGGAGAGAGAGAAGGAGAGAAGATCGAGGAAGAGAGGGAGAGAAGACGGAGAGAGGGAAGGAGAGAGGGAGAGAGGAATCAAAATCGTTGACGAGTAGTCATTGGAAGGTTGATGGTGAAGAGAGACGATCCGAACGATGGTATGTCTGTTCGTTAGATGTCAAGCTGATAGCGACATTAGAGTTGAGTTGTGCCTGCAGATGTCATTGCCATCGTTTCAAAGCAACAACCCGGCAAGAGGAATAAGAAGTTTGTAAACGGGCAGTTCGGACATTTTTCGGTGAACTGACGGCATTGACATGCCTGCAAGTGATAGATGATATAGATACAAGAGCTGGAGACTTCAGGGTGGACTGTCGAGAACAAGGTATGCCGCTGCTGCTGCTGGCTAATGACGATGATGATGATAGTGATGAAAATGATGATGATGATAACGAGAGGAGGAGGGGGAGGAGGAGGAGGAGGAGGAGGAGGAGCAGCAGCAGCAGCAGCAGCAAGAGCAGGATGCTTACATCCGGCTGTGGAATGACATGCTTGACTTGCAGGTTGCAAAGTCAAAGTTCCATCAGCCTGAGTACGAGAATGCAATCTACAATGATGTGAGGGAGGAGGGAGGAGGTCGATCGGCTGATGCACCTGACGATGCGGCTAAAAGTTCGAGCTGCTGTCATTGAGGAAGATACAGAAAAGCTGGAGAAACACGAGCAAGTCGCGCAGGTAAGTCAGGACAGAAGTCAGGATAGAAGTCAGGACAGAAGTCAGGACAGATTGTCTTCAATGGCCTGAACTCCCTGCTGCCTCCTCCTCCATCTCACTGACGCTCCACCCCTCCACATCCTTCCCCTCCCCTTCCCTCCCCTTCCCTCCCCTTCCCTTCCCTTCCCTTCCCTTCCCTTCCCTTCCCTTCCCTTCCCTTCCCTCCTCTTCCTTTCTCTTCCCTTCCCTTCCCTTCCTTTCCCTCCCCTGTCGCCCATGTCTCCCTTGCACATCCCCGTCTCATCTTCCGATTCCCCCGTGACTCTCCTCGCGATGCAGGAAGGCGACAGTGAGGAGGGAGCAGGAGAAAGCGTATCGCCAGGTGACGCCGCTCGAGCATCGAATGTTGGACAAGTTTGGAGAGAAGTGAGTGATACGAGCAGCATGCAGACGATGATGTGATGATGTTGATGTTGATGTTGTTGTTATTGATGATGATGATGATGATGATGATGACGACGACGACGACGACGACGAAGACGACGATGATGACGATGATGATGATGATGACGATGACGACGACGATTGTTGTTGTTGGTGATGATGATGATGATGAAGTTGATGATCATGATGCTGACGATGGCGATGATGACGATGATCTAGGTCAATATACAATGAGATGGATGAAGGGAGGAAGGTGAATTACATCTCCTTTCTCCTGTCCCACCTCCTCGATCCCCTTCTCCTCACCACTTACATTCCTCTGCCCAACAGGCTGAGGCGTTTGTAGCGACGTTGAAGTTTGGGTACCCTTGCGATGACATGTAAGGAAAAGTTGTCATGACAAGAGAAAATTTTGCGCCACCGTCACAATCAAATCAGATCATTGCGATCTCAAGCAAAAAGCTTTCTTTCTCTCATCTCCTCCCCGACCATCTCCCACATCACCAGGTGAGACGTTTGTTTCCTCTTCTACGATCTCACCCTCCCCTTCCTCTTAGCGCTCTCAGCCAACATGGTCTCGACATTTCTGTCCAGGCGTTCACTGAACTTGCGTCAGAGTCAGTCCTCCCGTCCACCTCCCCTCTTCTCTCCTCCTCTTCTCTCCTCCTCTTCTCTCCTCCACTCCTCTCCTCTCCTCTCCTCTTTCTCCTTCCTCCCCCCCTCCTCTCTAACCTGCTTCCAGGCACCTTCACGCCCACTTCGACGGACATGACACCGTCTCCGAAGTCCAGCTGGGCAAGTTCACATCGACCATGACCGAGGTGACTACAAGCTGAGAAATCGTTTTTTTACTCGCCCTCAGCTGGGGGGGCTCGAGAAAGTGCTCAGCAAGAGGAACCATCCTCCCCCTCCTTCGCAGCAGCAGCTGGTGAACAGCTGGGAAGAAGCGAAGGAGAAGGTCCTGCACTCCTGCTCTCCTTCCCTCTCCCTCTGCCTCCCCCTCGCCCATGTTCATGCTCACCCTCCTCCGTCTTCCCTTGATAGCGTATCATCGACAGACCGCCGCCTCCTGCTCCTCTTCTTCCTGCTCCTGCTCCTGCTCCTGCTCCTGCTCCTGCTCCTGCTCCTGCTTCCCCTTCCCCCCACCCCATCCCTCATCTCTGTCGCTGGGCAGGACCTCACGGCGAAAGCGAACCAATGCTACGAGTTGATGCAGCGGCTGAAGGAGAGAAGCATCCAGCGGCAGCGAGAGCTTGGTAGCGGTGACGCGGGAAGTGCAGGAGGAGGAGAGAAGCTTGTCGGAGGAGGGAACAGGCGTTGAGAACAGGAACGAAGAGAATATCGCAGTATCTAGATGTAAATAGTGAACCATCTGTTGAGGCGGATGAAGACGAGGAGGACGAGGACGAGGACGATGACGCTGGACAGGAAGAGGAGAAGGAGGGAGTAAAGAGGAGGAGGGAGAACGAGGGAGGGGGGGGGGTTGGAGGAAGGAGGGAGAGAGGAAGAGGAGGAGGAGGAGGAGGAGGAGGAGGAGGAGGAGGAGGAGGAGGGGAAACAGCGGAAGTCTCTCGCTGCTCTCTCTCAGCCGGAGAAGAAGTTGGAGATGTCGGTCTTGCAGATGGGGCAGACGTGCGACCCCTTCTTGAGCCAGATGTCGATGCACGACTCTGACACCCAAAGTCAATGTGGCACCCAAAGTCAACGTGGCACCCAAAGTCAACGTGGCACCCAAAGTCAACGTGGCACCCAAAGTCAAAGTCCAACACAAACACAAAACCAACGCCACATACAGAGTCAACATGAAATACAAAGTCAACGTCGGGCACAAGAAGAACTTCAAGTACAAAGTCAACATGGGACCCAAAGTCAACGTGCAACGCGGCTTCAGGAGCATATAGAACCCTGCAATGGCGGAAGGAGACAAATCGACAAGAACGACAACAACACAAGCTGCGATACGAGGTTGATGGTGTATCAGAACATGGCAGCGCTCTCATCGCATCGAGTTGATCCTTCACTCCTGCTCTCCTCACCGTGAAACGAGTGCAGACATGGTAGCCGTTTGACAACATCCCCTGCTGGACAGTGAGTAGCAGGAGGAGCAGAACGAGAAGCAGGATGGAGGAGGAGAAGAAGGTCACTAGAAGAAGGAGGAGCACGAGGGAAGGGACGAAGACGGGAATGAGCCAGAGGGGAAGCAAAAGGAGGAGGAGGAGGAGGAGGAGGAGGAGGAGGAGGATGCAGCAGCAGCAGGAGCTCATGTCAACTTTGCACCTCTAGAAAAGTTTTGCAGGCAGATCACACACTCTCCCATCTTCTCATGCTCATTTCCAGCCAACCTGCCCAATTCTCATCCATCCCATCCCATCCGCTCGTCCCACCTCCTCCCTCCCTCCCTCTCCCCCGCCCCCCCGCCCCCCCTTCCTCTCGCTCTCCTTCCCTCCCTACCTCCTCTCCCCTCCCACTCGTACCTGTGCGTCGGGATCGCGCTCGTCTGTACCCTGTGCGAGGAGGAGGAGGAGGCGGAGGAGACGAGTCTGCTGCTGCCATGAGCTGCTGCTCCTCGATCTTAGGAAGCGTCTCACCCTTGCCGCGCTGCCTCGTTGCTGAAAGTCATCGCAGCCGCCTGCACATCGGCGCGTCACGAGAAGGAAGGGGAGGAGGAGGAGGAGGAGGAGGAGGAGGAGGAGGGAAGACGTCGAGTTGACCTGCGCTAGGGAACCTCCGATGATGCCAGCTGAGGCTCCTTGGAGTAGACCTGGGGCAATCACAACGAGTTGAGGAAAAGAAACAATGACAATGATGATGATATGTTCATGATAGATGATGATGATGATTATGATGATGAGGAGAAGGAGGAGGAGGAGAAAGGCTGAGCAGGAGGCATCGAGGGAGAGGAAGCGCCCAGAGGCTGAGGCTGAGCAAGAGCAGCAAGAGCAGCAAGAGCAGGAATAAAAGATGATGTATAAGCAGCAGGCTGCAGTAGAGAGGAGGGTAGAGGAGTCAAAGATCAGTTCGTACAAGGACACACTGGAACTGGCGAGAGTAGAACTAGGAGGAGGAGAGACGGCAGGACGAAGGGGGAGGGAGGAAGACGAACAGCAAGGCTGACAGCAGCAGACAAGCATGCCCACCTGTCGTGACATCCTGCCTCCTAGCGTACGAGATCAATCCCCCCACCGCTGCTCCTAGAGCAGCTCCGCCCAGCATGAAGCTCGCATCAGGAGAGCCGGAGACGTACATGCCTGCCTCCTCCGACAGCTCGCCATGACTACAGCACAGCGTCAGCCTCCTCAGGTCCAGCCATGACATGCAAGCTCGCTCACGTCTCGTTGCAGATGACTGTCCCGCACATGCCGCATGCTCGGGCGCTCGCTGGGTTTAAGAACTCAAGGATCATCGTCAGCGGAGGGCGAGGGGGGAGGAGGACGCAGCTCACTGTGCATGCATGACATTGCGCTTGGTGACGCGTCTCCTCCCCCTCCCCCTCGGCGACCGGAAGCCACCGTGCTGATCCCAGCGGACGCCTGCAGTCGTATGAGGAGGAGACAGAAAAGGGAGTCCTGACCAGTCTCACCATCTCACCCGACGGACTGTCCCGCTCTGCATGTTCCGCTGGATGCCGTCTTGGAAGATGATCTCGTATATGTTGTGACCTTGGGGAGGAGAGGAACAGAGTCAGAGAGGTTTGAGATCGGACCGGAGTGTTGTTTGTACCGATTTGAATGTGTGCTCCGGGAAGTCCGCTGCTCATCGCCTCCTGTGGTGGCACGTCAGGGACAAGAAACAGCTGGAAGATGAAGAAGGATGAAGAGGAAGAGGGAAAGACTGTGCGGTAGGACGTAGGTGGTCTGTCAGGGGGGAGGAGGGAAGGGGAGGAAAACATGGAGCAATGGATGGTTATTGAGGTTGGACGGTGGAGAAGGAGAGGCCCTCTGAGGGAGGAAGAGGAGAGAGCGAGAGTTTGAATCAGTGCGACATGTCCTCTCCAAGCCTTCAAACCTCTAGGATCGCGTTCTGCGGCGAATCAAAAGCCCTCCAATCGCCATGGTCAAACTCATACTGGAACTGGTACTCCGATGCCGATGGCTGATGTGCATCGTGCATGGAGAGGTCCAGCGCCTGCCGCAGGCACTCCTCCTCGTTGTACATTTCTGCGTCTCCTCTACTGTTTGTAGCATGTGCAGACAACCCTGTCTGGCACCCAGCTCCCCTACGTGGCCCTGTCCACAAACTCAGTCAAACATCCACAAACTTGAGGAAGCGGAACGTCGGAGAGAACCGGCAAGGAGCAAGCGAGGGGACAGGGGTATGAGAGTAGGAGCAAGGACGCTGGAGGGGAGGGGAGGACAGGACGTTCAGGACACAGAGAGGGGGATGGAGGGAGAACGAAGAAGAGGAAAGGAAAGAGGAAGAGAGGCGAAGAAGACAAGGGAGAGGGAGAGGGAGAGTAAGCGGAGAAGGAAGAGGGAGGCGGCATAGACAGTTCACCTGGACATCGCAACATGTGTAGCTCCATGTTCGTCGTCGTCACCCTCGCCCCGCATCGCGCGCATACCGTCATATCTGCCATGATCCCGACCTACCCAGCAGCGAGGTGGGACTGAGCGGGGATGAGCCAGGCTGGGGGTGAGGCGCCGGGTCAATTGGCGGCCGGGCATGATGCCCGGCCAGTTAAGGCTTCTGACGTGACTGCCGCCTCCAGCAGGCTGGGGCCGCCAGGAGTTCGTCGACCACTCAAGTTGGCATCACTGGAGGCGGCAGGGCCTGTCTCAGACTAGCATGGGATGTGACCGATAACTTAAGACCTTTTTACTTGCAAAGCATCATCCCCATTGGAGAACTGTACCAACTCTCATGCACCCACCCCACCTACCTCGCCATCTCGCGATCTCTTCTAGAAGCTCCGCTGCCCCCGGCCTATCCTTCCCTTCCTCCGCCCATGATCGCCTCATCATCACCTGTAGCTCCCTCGGCATCGTCCGTTCGCTCAGCACTGCCGGACGGAAGTTGTACTTGGCTGCCATGCTGGCTACAGAAATACCGTCGGTGTTGCAGAAGGGATGCTCCCCGGCGAAGATGTACCACATCACCAGCGAGAAAGAGTACACGTCCACCGCCGCCGTGTACTGACCCTCTCCCCGGAAGATTTCTGGCGCCATGTACCGGTAAGTCCCCGTTATGCCTGTCAGCTCCGTCGACATGGGCGACTCATCCCACAAGGAGCCGCAAGACCCCCTGCCTCCTCCCGGTGTCAGCGGCGCCTTGGCCGGGCTCAGCGGACCCATGCGGCTGAGCCCGAAGTCCCCGATCTTCACCGTCCTCCCGTCCCCCGTCAGCAGCATGTTGGCTGGCTTGATGTCTCGGTGGATCACCGGCGGCTTCTGTGAGTGCAGGTACGCCAGCGCGCTCAGGATGTCCTCCACCCACGACACTGCCCTCCTCGTCTTGGGCCGCCAGCGCCCGTCCCGTCGTGACTTCTTCTTGGCCTCGTAGTACTGCTCCAGGCTCCCCCCGGCATCAGCTCCATCACCAGCCACGGCAGCCCGTCGTGCTCGTAGATGCCGAAGAACTCTATCACGTTCTTGTGCCGGAAAGCGTGGCTCATCATGCCGATCTCCTTGAGCAGGTCCTTGGCCTCCTTGGACCGGGCGTCGAGCTTGGAGCAAAGGGTCTTGACGGCGACCTGCCTGCCGTTGTAGAGGGCGCTCCTGACCTCCCCGCAGGATCCCTCACCTAGGACGTCACCGAAGATGAGGGAGGATCGAGGGATGGCGAAGGATCCGCAGCGGTCGATGTCCTTAGGCATGAGGATGTTATGGTGGGAGGCAAGGTCAAGGAAGACGGGGCAGTCGTCCTGAAGGGAGGGTCTACGCACGAAAGCCTCTCTCCGTTCATGCAGGGCGTCAGGAGGTAGATAGATTCGTGGCGTTTATCTATTAATGAATCTTAGAAGTCAACTTTCATGTTGCTACGTAAACTTTCATGACGTTACATTAGTAACGGACTACCGTCGTATTACCGGGCTGCTTACTGGCAGTGCCGTCAGCTGGGGGGCAGTGCCGTCAGCTGGGGGGGCCGGCGTCGCCTCCGCCCGGCCGTAACTGAGCAGAGCCATGACCGTACTCGCCGCTGAACGCACAGGCGCAGTGAGTGCGTTATGACCGCCCGGCCGGTCCGATCACACTGGCACTGACACTGAGTCCCATTAAACACCGTGGCACGGTGCCGGCTACCTCAGAGTCAGTCGCGGCCGCCCCGCCGGCGGCCCGAGGCCCATGCCGCACCGGGGTGTCATGGCATCGGCGGAGGCCGCTAGTACGGTAGACTCCGTACAGTACGGTTCAACGGTTGCCCGGAAGTTCCCAGGACTGAACTTTACCCAGGAAGTTGCCGTTAAATTTTGGTCACTGCGGGGATGTGGGCCCCACGGGTCAACATGGTTGCGGGGGAGGCAAGGCGAATGGCAAATTTGTGCCGCGAGATGCGGGAGGGTGAAGAGGGGGACAAGGACAAGGACAAGGACATGGAGGAGGAGGAGAAGAAGAGAGCAGCAGGATGGTGGAGCCATGATTCTCGTCTGCCTTTCATCCTCTCCCCGACTTCCTCCGAATCATCTTCCAAAGTTTCTGATTCCAGTTCACGTCATGCGAGAATGCCAGGTGAGAAGGACCACATGCAGCAGCAGGAGCATCGACCACCTGCTGGCTCCCTGCTGGGAGATGCGCTGAAACTTCGGAACGAGAGGGAGTTCAGGTTTGCAGTCGCACAACAGGAAGAGCTGTACTGCCCGCAGAGACTGAGAGTGAGTGACGTGCTCGGGATCGACAAGAACAGAGATCGGCATGTGAGCAGAGTGCTACGAGAAGCGCTCAAGTTGAGACGAGATCGAGAAAAGCTGTTCGACACCAGGACGCATGCGAACGAGGAGGCTCCGACGAACCAAAAGGTAGCTGTGGGCAACCATACTGGACAGAGCAGCGTCGAGAGAGCAGGAGGGAGCATGGATACCGTGGTCGACGCAGAGAAGGCGAGATGGGCAAGTGCTGGGCGAGTGCTGAAGTCCCCTGGAGAAGGTCGAGAAAGGACGATGCCAGTCAATGGAGACGTAGATGGAACGGAGAACGTTGGGAGACCGAATGGATGTATCGCAAGGTTGGGGAGGTACGACGACAGAAGGCAAGGGCTGAAGGAGGACCACGAAATTGCGGATGAAGAGATGCGAGGACAAAGCAGTTTGAGCGGCCATGCAGAACTACAGTCCCGAGGAGGCGGAGGAGGAGGATTGGGAGGAGGAGGCAGGGGCGGAGGAGTTGCTAGTGTTGGAGCAGGAGGCAGAGCAGAAGGAAGCCTCAGTGTCGGACCAGTCACAAACCCATCGGCGAGCACAGAGGTCGTGAGAAATGTGCGGGGGAGCATGAGGAGCGACGAAAGTGGAGGAGGAGGAGGAGGAGGAGGTGGTGGTGGAGCAGAGAGCGGAGTGAAAATCAAACGAAGTCAAGAAGAAATCAAGAGGACGGGAATGAGAAGAAATTCGGAAGAACAGAGCCCGAGGAAAGAAGGACGAGGGGAAGGGGAGGAGGAGGAGGAGGAGGAGGAGGAGGAGGAGGAGGAGGGGGATCAGAATTGGTATCAGCGGCAGCGGCAGTAGCAGCAGCAGGAGCATCAGGTGGAGTCAAGGTTGGAATAGTCTCAGACGCCGAGGGGAGTATGAAAGTCATCAGAGGACAGCGAGGGATTTTGAAGCTCGACAGGAGAGGAAGTGGAGAAAGTTCGGGAGGAGGTGGAGGAGGAGGGGGACGGGAAGGAGCAGGAGACAGCAGGGCGGACGCCAACCGAGGTCACGAAGGGCGAGCGAAGGGGGAGGGGGACCTTGGGGGGCGAAGCAGAGGAGGAGGAGGAGAACAAGGGACAAGGGAGACAGGTGATCCTGTTGCAGACTCGGCGGGTCCAAGAGGGCAGGGGGAGGAACAGGAGGAAGAGGAAAGGGAGGAGGAACGTGTGGATGCTATCACTCAGATCGTTCGCCTGCTGCCGTCCCTGCGGTCTAGAGGAGCTGACAAGGGGCGAGGAGGAGGAGCAGCGGAAGGGTCAGAGGACGAGGCGGAGGGGAGGAAGATGTTGACTCTGGAAGCAAGGACCAGGGCGCTTGAGCGAGTGTTCAAGAGCTTTCACGAGGAGGAAGACAGACAGTCGGAGTCACCCGATGGTTTCTTTGATGACTTGTACTCCATGGTGGGAAGGAAGGACGACATCCTGTCAAAGAAGTCTGTTGAGCCCTCCTCCTCAGCCTCCTCCGCCTCCTCCGCCTCCTCCGCCTCCTTCTTGTCCTCTTCGTTTCTCTCCTCCTCCTCGTTTCTACGGGATGACAACTCGATTCCTCGCCCCGTTGCCTCTGATGCGGAACGTGATGCACGGTCAATTTCGTCCTCCGGGGAAGACTTCTACTCTCCCATATCGGAATTTCATGAGACAAATCCAAAAGTACAGATCAAGATTGGCAGGGATGCCCAAACTCCCAATGTCATCGTCCGGCTGCCGGAGGTGGAAAGTGACCCACCGACGATTCCGAGAAATTTGCGAGAAAATGGGAAAGAAGAGAAAGCGGAGGATGAGGAGGAGAAGTCAGCAAGAAGGGAAAGAGGCGAAAAAAGATGCTCCGAGATGTCAGTCAGCACTGATTTGTTCATCGGACATGGCCAGGAAGGAGAAGGGAAGGCGGTTGTGGAGGATGAAAGTTTGGATCCCGAGGCTGAGAGAAGAACAAAAGACAAGGAAGAGAAAGTTATGAAAGAGGAGCAGGAGGACGAGGGAGAGGATGAGAGGGAGAGGGAGAGGGAGAGGGAGAGGGAGAGGGAGGAAAACGATCAACAGGCAAGGTCGGAGGACCTGCAGTCAGAAATGTCTGCCGCTTCAAGTGGTGGGAAACTGTCAAGAAGTTGGGCCGACGCTCTCTGTTTCAACGAGGAGGAACAGCAGGGGCAGGAGCAGGAGGGGCAGAGGAAGGAGGAGGAGGAGGAGGAGGAGAGGGGGAGATCGAGAAGAGCATCAGAAAGGGCAGGGAGGACGGCGCTCTCCCTTTCTTCTACTCCTGTTTCCTCTCTTAACATGTCAGTTTCCCCTTGCACTGCTCAAGGATTGGCGACGAAGCTGCTGGTGCTGGCAGAGGAGGGGCAGGAGGAGGAGAAGGAGGAAGAGGTTGTGAACGAGGAGGAGGAGGAGAGGAAGCGATCCGATCAAGCACATCGTCGGCTCGTCCAACAACTTGCCAGCGGAAGAAACTTGCTGCCAAAACGCGAGAACGTGGAGGATGAGAGGGCTGCGGAGGAGCTCGGGAGTGCGCAGGGAACTAGCCAATCGACCAGTCCCTCACTCCCATCGCAGGAGGAGGAGGAGGAGACGGTGTTCCTTGCAGAGTCTCTCAGCTCAATCTCCGCCAGCTCCCTCCCAGCAGACCCCGACAGGTTTCCGAGAGAGCTGGTTCTGTCCGGTCAGAGCATGTTCCATCCTAGCGTTCTGGGTCAGTACAGGAGGAGGTGCGCCCTCGGCCCTCCGCTGTACGACAGGAGAGGAGGAGGGTCGGTGCTCTCCTTCGACAGCAGGATGCAGGTCTGGTCCTTGCAGTACCTACGGGAGGGGTTGGTCGGCAGCGTCGCCATGTGGAGGAGGAGCGAGCGAGAGGAAGAGTATCCTCTGCGGTCCTGGGTAGAGGTGACGAGCGGGGCAGCGTGGCGGAATCCAGCGATATCTCTCAGTCGGGAGGAGGGAGAGGACGAGGACGAGGACGAGGACGAGAAGGATGAGCAGAGCAAGAGGACGGGGAGGAAGGGGAAGGGGAAGGGAAGGAAGGGCTCGAGGCTACGACATGCTCTTGCCTCCTCCTTCCAGGATTTCTCGGCGGGCAGTGGGCAGCTGCTCCCTCCCCTCGTGGAGCTGGAGGAGGAGGAGGCGGAGGAGGAGATTTCCCTAGCGCCTCAGGTCCTCTCCGAGACCATCCGAGTCTACCACGAGCTTCATCCTCCTCAGATCGAGCTGGAGGAGGAGGCGGAGGAGGAGGAGGGGAAGGCAAGGGGAGGGCTGCCGTCTTGTGGTGCAAGAGGCAGCAGCAAGTCAGTCAGCCTTCGGGTCGCGCACACCCTGGAGGAGGGAGGAGACGTATGCGTGTGCGCCTGCGTCGGGATCAGCAGGCAACCTCCTCCTCCTCTCCCTCCTCGCTCCCTTTCCGTCGCTGTGATCATCGTCATTGACTGGAGCTTCTCCGGGGACGCGTTGGACGCGCTGGAGCGGCTGAGCGAGGAGCTGGTGGAGGAGATAGAAGAGGAACACGCGATCGGAATCATCTCTTCCTCCGATGCCTCTAGGGTTCACATCCTCCCGATGCAGGTGATAGAGCGATCCTGTTCCCCTGCTCCAGCTCATCCTCCTCCCCACTGCGCTCCCCCGGCTTCTTTTCCTGCCCTTTGTGTGCCTCGCATGGCCTGCCTACCTCCCACTTGCCCCCTTTCTTGCTCCCCTCCCCTCCCCCCTTTCCCCTCCTCCGCTCTACTCTCCCCTCCTCTTCCTCTTCCTCTCCCCCTTCTTCGCTACCCTCTCCTTTCTCGCCACATCCTCTGCCTCTCCTCCTCTCCTCTCCCCTCCCGTCTTCCTTCTCCTGCCCTAGCCAGTGACCACTCATCATCCCATCTCTTCTCTCACTTCCCCGCAGGCCAGCGGGACCAACAAGTCTCAGCTACTCGGTCAGCTGGTCAAGGCCATCGACCGTGCAAGGAGGAAGGGGCAAGGACGGTCCTCCTCTCCTCTCGCTCAAGCCATCATGGAAGCCTTCAGAATTCTCAATCCTCCTGCAGCAGAAGACTATCTCACCCTCCCTCCCTCCTCCTCCTCCTCCTCCTCCTCCTCCTGCCCCGTCCGATGGATCCTCCTGCTCACCGGAGTCAACCACGGCGACTCCCCCCCGTCTTCTCACATGCTCCTCTCCTCCCCTCCTCTCCGCGAGAACCTCCTCCTTCGCGGCTCCACACAGCTGTGGCCCATCGTCTCCCTTCCCCGCGTCAGCGACGCCAACGAGCCCATCGACTTCCTGTCCAGCATGGAGGAGCTTGCCCTGCTCACCGGAGGACTGCGGCAGGTCGTCCAAGGAGGAGAGCAGGCGGAGCAGGCGGTGAGGAGCGTGTGGAGAAGGATGATGCATGTCAGAGCATGCAACGTCTCGTTGACCGTCTCGACGGAGGAGGCGGCGCTGATGGTATCTTGCTCGGGTATGCCGCTCGGGTTCTCCTGCGAGGAGGAGGGAGGGAGGCGAGTGAGGATCGACCTCGGGCATCTGTCAGGTATTTAGCTCCTCCTCCTCCTCCCCCTCCTCCTGAATTTCTTCTTGATCGTTCTCATCCTTTGCCTCATCCTCCTCCGTCCTCGTCCTCTCCCTCCTATCCCTCCTCCTCCTTCCCCCTCCTGATGTTTCTCATCTTTCTCCTCGTCCTCTTCCTCGTCCTCGTCCTCGTCCTCGTCCTCGTCCTCGTCCTCGTCACTCACTTGTTTCTAGCTGGCGAGCAACGTCATATCCCACTTGTGCTCACGAGGAGCCGCGAGGCAGAGAAACTCCTTCACAACGGCATCATGCCGGAGGGGAGGGTGAGATTCGAGCTGACCTGCGAGGGCCGGCATGCTCGATGGGAGGAGGAGCGAGTCTGCCATGAGCTGAATACCAGGCTGCTCTTCCTCAGGGGCAGGGGGGTAGGAGGAGGGAGGAGGAGGGAGAAGGGGCTAGATGCGAAGAAGGAGCGGGAGGAGGAGGAGGAGGATAGGATCCTGTGCTTGCAGCATTTTCAGCGGATGAAGTCGGCGATCGCCATGTTGGAGGCTGGGAAGCTGGAAGGAGATGCAGGAGGAGGAGGAGCAGATGGAGGAGGAGGAAGCGGAGGAGAGGCAGGGGGAGGAGGGAGAGGAGGAGAAGGAGGTCAGGTGACGAACTGGAACCGCTGGAGGAGGGAGGGGGGCAAGAGGATGGACGTGCTGCGGGAGGAGCTCGACAAGTCATCGTTGCTGCTCCACAAGAGGCTCCCGCAGGAGTGGACGATGCTGGATCAGCTCAAGACCGACGCCGCCCGGTGCAAGCGGATCTTGTTCCAGCTCCATCCCCTCCTCGCCAGCTCTCTCCTGCAGGAGCTCGCGCACGCGCACCGGCTCGAGCATCCCCTGCTGGCCTCGGGGAAGTTTTACGAGACAGGAAGGGAACGAGGGAAGGGGAAAGGAGTAGAGAGGCTGAAGTAGCAATGAAGTTTTAGAATGCTTGTGCACCTTGCTCCATACATTCCTCCTCCTCCTCCTCCTCCTGTCGCTCACATGCGGCTCCTTGGGGTGGGGATCGCCATGGACGGGATGTCGATCGCCGGGCATCGGTTCATGATGACGTTGACGCCGCGGCCTCTCGCCGCTGCCGCGGCCTCCTCGTCCTCCACCCCGATCTGCGTCCAGATCGTCTTCACCCCCTTTTTCACCGCGTCCTCGAACACGGGAGCGATCCTGCAAGCTGGATGTCAGCTGGGGAGGAGGAGGAGGTGGCGGCAGCAGGGGAGGAGGGGGTGGGGGGGAGCAGGACAAGAAGGAGCTGGACCGGGTGACTGGCTACCTGTCGGAGCGCAAGAAGATGTCAACGATGTCGACATGCTCCTCTATGTCGCTGACACTCGCGTACGTCTTCTGTCCCATCACCTCCTCGCCGCGTTGAGCAGCCCCCGGATTGACCGGGATGCAGCGGTAGCCCTACGAGGATAGTGCATGAGACATGGTAGAGGAGAGGAGGGGAGAGAGCTTGAGAGGGGAGCAGATCTGGGTGGACAGAGGGAGAGTTGAGAGGAGGAGAGGGTAGAAGGTGTGGAGCGGATGGGATGGGATGGGATGGGATGAGAGGGGATGGGGAGGGGAAGAAAGCAGCAGATGGGAGGATACTAGGGAAGGATGGTAGGGAAGGATGGTAGGGGAGGTCACCTCAGCTTGCAGAAACTTCATGACGCCATAGACGGGCATGGTCTCCTTGTTCGTCGCTCCTACGACTGCGATGGTCTTGGCGTCGGACCAAACTTGTTTCACGAGCTCGGCCTCGGTCGCCATGGCAGACAGGGACAGAGGAGATGGAAGCCTTGTGCGAACGTGTACAGAGGAGCGGGGAAGGCCTACAGGACTTCGAGGGGAACAAGCAGGGGAGAGGAAGGGAGAGGAGCGAGCGAGGGAGAGAGAGGAGGTAGCGGGAACGGAGAAGGTGAGGGAGGAGGCGGGGAGGAGGAGGAGGAGGAGGAGGATTTGGGACATCGACAGAAGGAACAGTTCCTTCGTCTAGAGACCCTACCCCGTGTTTGCCTCGAAAATACTTCTAAAGGAAATTGTATGAAGTAGGGTAGGGTGATCCAGTGTTCACCTTGCGAAAAGTTCCAACGCATTTCGGAAGGAGGTGGAGGAGCGGGGGGAGCAGGGGGAGCAGGGGGAGCAGGGGGAGCAGGAGGAGCAGGAGAAGCAGGAGGAGCAGGAGGAGCGGGAGGGACAGGGTTCACCACACTTGCCCTGTGAGCATGCTGAAGTTTTGCCTGCCCAGTGTCAGCAGGTCCTATCCTTAGAGAGGAATCATGGCCATGCACATCTCCAGCGATCAGGTGGAGGAAGAGACTTCAGGGAGTTTCCAGTTTGAGGAGGTGGATTTCAAGCCTCAAATCCTCAACGATCCGAAGAAGAAGGTTAGCAGTCCTTACCTCCTCCCTCCCTCCCCTCTCTCCCTCTCCACCCTATCTCCCTTGACT